TTGAAAAAGATTAAGATGCGGTGACAAGATGTATGGTGTAGAGAGGAAGATAATTGGCACCAAACAAACAAAATGGTGTCCGGTATAAAGGTCAGGACGTTCCTGAGCATCGCCCAAAACTTGGCAGGAAAAGAAAATTAAGCTCTTCAAATTCGTTCTACATGAGCGCTAGAGCAGTAAGGACAAAGCCACCAGAACGTGAAAAGTACGGTTACGGTTAACCTGACAAACTCTCATTTTTCTTAAGAGACATCATGTCGGGAGATAAGAACAGAACATTCATTCTAAAAGTTTTGTGTTTCAGAAGTGTATAGCTTGTTGTATTGTACAATATATCAGACATTATGTATGAACCCAGTAAAACCCCATTCCTACAGTAATTGAGAGAATTTAACAAAACGTTGGAGCTTCATTGGAGGAAAGGTACATACTATCTTTATTCGTGCTCTTTTCTGAGGATCAGCAAATCCATTGTCGAAGGCAATTATTTTTATTTTTATTATTATTATTATTTTATTTTTTTTATTTTTTTTGGGGGGGCGCGCGTTTCCGACTCTGCCTGTTAGGATTTAAATAGTTTGTAGGACACCCAGCAGAATGGCGAATATAACATAATATAACATCTTTCTAAAATGCCAATCGAACTAGGGTTTTTTTGTTCTATTTGTGTTTGCTTGTTTTGGGGCTGTTGTTTTTTGTTGTTTGTTTTTTTCTTTCGTTTTCTGTATGTTTGGGTTCTTTTTAGGGGAGGGTTTCTTTTTTTATCTCTTTTTTTTGGGGGGGGGGAGGGGTATGCATAATGCAAAGTGCCAAACCTTTATACCAAGGGAGACAGGTAGTCGGAGATCTACACACGTGTTATCACATCACAATAACATCTTATAATCTTTAGGCTCTGGCAATAAATTGTTAACCTTTTCAGAACTGAGGCCTTTTCGTATACTTTTACACAGAGGAGAGAAAATTAATGTTCATTCAAATAAGATTCAAATGAAACCATATTATCATGCTTTCATTTATTAAAGACAGACAATTGCTCAAGTTGCAAATACAGTACATCTAAAACAATCCCAAATAATAAAGTAGAATAGAAGCAGTGAACCAGATTTGGACAGCGCAAGTGAATATCACACCTCAACACATCACTGAAGAGGTTAAGGTGGCCTTTTTGTCTCTGATTATTATCCTCAAAAAAATATTTTTTTTTCGCTTACTTTCAACCTCAAACTCAGTGTGTAACACTTTTGTCTCGACCTGTTCTGATTTGTTTTGCGGTAAAATGCAGACTCTTTTGCGCCGACTCGCCGAAATCTACAGCAACAGCGACAACAACCTTATTGCTCTGGGTATTTGTTTGCTTTTGACTGTGCGTGTACGCAGAGTTATTAAAACCGTATTTATCGCCGGTTTCCCTGTCTGAATATGTTTAGCGTTGTTAGCGGTTTGTATAACAAGTGTTTTAAAAAAACTGAGTCAGAATGCCAGAGATAAAACTATGAATATTTCACCGTGAATGTTCTTTTTTGTAGAAGAGGAATGGCTTTATATTTTATTCTCTCCGCGATTCAACTACTCAGTAACAATCTTCTCTAACAATTCAGTTGCATTAATTAAATTGTAATCTAAGACAAGCGTACTTTCCTATTTCATTAGGGTGATTAAAATTCATCTCAATTTTTTTTTACTTTGTAAAGCGAATAGAGAAGGCTGCTGAAAAGGTGGGACAAATAACGAACGCATTATTATGCAGCATTGTCCGAAAGAGGGGCAGTCAGACAGACAGACAGACAAACAGACAGACAGACAGACCAGACAGACCAGACCAGACAGGCAGACATATATTTAAATATATATTATATGCGTATATTATATAACTATATGTTAGATATATGGGAATGTAGATATATATATATACACACACACATATATATATATATATATATATATATATATATATATATATATATATATATATGTAGAGAGAGAGAGAGAGAGAGAGAGAGAGAGAGAGAGGGGGGAGGGGGAGCGAAAGAGAAGACGAGGAAACGGGAAACAGAGAAGACATATCAATACTGCGGGAGACAGAGTAAAGAATTTGCTGACAGATGGATTGGCGAAAAGTGGAGACGCAGGAAGGAGAAAGCTATTGGGGGGGGGGGGGACAGTGTCGATCAAACTGGATTAGGTGGAGAAAAAGAGATAGATATGGAAAGCTACTCCCAAACTCACATACAATAATAGAGCAGGGTAGTTTTCGCATATTAAGTCACTTTAATCACGTTGTCACCTATCTTAATGCAATAGGAATCTATTTTTGTTTTCTTTTGGTAAGTGTTTTACGACGCTCGCAACTGCATAAGGTCATTTGAGCGCACGGTAAACATTTTCAGTTTGGTAGGAATTCATTTTGAATTTGGCTGGTCTGCAGCAGAAGCCTACTCTTATCGATTTTGGACCAACCAGGGATCTTTAACGTGCGCACGAGACTTCTGAGATTTTTGCCCTTATCCAAGAAGGCTAGGTGTTTGATCTTATCTACCCTAAGATCAGGGATATATATGTCTGATAGACAGCAGTAAGAAAGAGCTAATGAGTAGCAGTAAAAAGGCTGTTGAAAGAGTCTGGAGCCCAGAAGAGGGGGGAAATGGGGGGAGGGGGGCGAGTTTGGGGGCAGAAAGTGAAGACGAAAGTAGACGAAAGGACATGTTTAGAGAGCAGGGAAAGAAGTGAAAGAAAAAACTTTTAAAGAAGCAGTTTTCCGTCACTGTCAGATTTCAAACCGGGGACCTATTGAATGAGAGTCTAAAACCTGTAGACCATGAGAGCCCCCAAGAGGTACTTGGTGTCTATAAAAAAGAAGATCCACTTAAAGGACAATGACATGGTCATTAGAGTAGAGTCCGAATTTTAACAACGATTCGAACAAATAAACTTTAAACAGGGGACATCAAATTTGCAAATGAAGAAAACCCATCAAAATATTAGAGAAATTTACAGTTTTTAAAAATTCAACCAAAATCCGGTAAAACGCAACATGTCGCTTCTTAAACGCGTTCGGTCACAGGTGCGTGATCGACCCGTTCTGATTCAGAATAAAGACCGTAGAACCACAATAGTCGCATCAGTTGGATATATCACCGTGCTGAAAAAGTTTTGAAGAAGTTTGGGGAGGAGAAGGTGTTATGCTGTATAAGAGGTCTGGTTTCAATGAAATGAGGCCATACCCCAAATGTTTTGAGTGGCCCTTGTGTGGTTGCAAGAAAGGTTTGGGGGACGCCTTAGAAGCCGTAAGTTAACAATTTAATTGTCACCATATTCCCCCAAAATTGAGCCCTTACAATCATTACCTTTGGGCTTTTTAACGTACAGAGTAAACGGAAACAACGATGGAACGGATAAAACTCAATGTTGAACTGGACGTCCAAAAGAATAGAGCGAAAAACATGACACAGGGTTATTCTGAATTCCCAATGGCTTATTGGAGCTGGTATGGAGAGAAATGGTCACCTTCTGGAGATTTAAATAACCATCACCACACTGAGTTCACTTGGCAATATATTTTTTGTATAAATATGCTTTTCAATTCAGAAATAATAACTGTTGTGAAACAGAACTTTGCGGTTGATATTTAAGAAGTTGCAAAGTTTTGCGTTTCACTTAAGTATGGTTTAAATTTTTTTGAACGTGGCAGTTGGTATATTTTACGCTAATTCTTTGTTTTGGTAAGTATTTTAAGGCTGTCGCAACTGCAAAAGGTCATATGAGAGAGTGGGACATATTAAACATTATCATTTGGTAGGGATTTTGACCAGGTGGCTGCCGAAGCCTACTATAACCGATTTTAGAACACCATGTGATCTTTAACGTGCGCAACTTGCACACGGTACCTCCAAGGATTTTTTCCATGTCAGAAAATGCTATGTGTAGATTTTTCATAACAGAAGATCAGGGGTGTAGCTGAAAGTTAACAGTAAGAAGGAGCCAGGGAGTAGCAGTAGAAAGGCTGCAGAAAGATTCAGGAGCCCAGAGGCGGGGGCAAAGGGGGTGAGGGGGTTGGGGAAGAAAGTGAAGACGAATGCAGACGACAGAACATTGCCAGAGAGTGGGAAAGGAGGTAAAAGGAGACAATTTTGGAGAATATTTTTTTTCGAACTGGGGACCTTTGAATGAGAGACGAACACCTTAACCTCTTGGCCACGAGAGCCCACCCCTTTCATACTCAATAATACAACGTCCCCGTAGTTGGATTTTATTACTTTTATGTTTCTTTGTAATCGGCGCAAAGACGACTGAATTACAGTCGTTCAAATGTGTCATTGTTTGGACACTCAATATAAAAAAGTAAGTTGTTGTTCATGAAATTGGCCCCGCGAGTACTCAGTCTTATGCGAACTCTTTAAAACAGTCAAACATGTTTTTTTTCACTGTGTAAAAAAACCCACATGGATTGAATTGATAAGGTCGGTTTTGCATTAGCCAATTATTGTCCTTCAATAGACTTAAATCAACAAATCGATTAACATGAAAGGTAACTGGAAAGAAGACACCAAAAGCAAGTAAAAACCAAGCAACTTATAAGCAATACCCATCAGCTTGATAGTTAATACCCACGCCTGCGTTCATCCCACTCTTCATGCTTGCATCCCAGCAATTCCCCACCCCTGGCCCTGCTTTTGGCATTACATGAGACTAACCCCTCCTCCCCCGAAAAGCACACACACACACACACACACACACACA